GTGTAACGAGAAAGGTACAGGTAAGGGTACAGGCGAGGCACCAGTAAAAGTAAACGAATAAGCAAACGTCAATGCACATATAACGTGGCAGATACATGCAAATGTCCATGTGAAGGTACACTTGGAAGTACGGGTAACTATACAAGCACAAACAGGAGTAAACAAACATGCCAATCGGAAGGACATGTAGGGTAGATATTGTAAGGTTATGCAAATCAGGTAAGGTAGCGCAGGCTAAAGTAAGGTAAAGTAGGATAGGGTAGGGCAGGGTACTGTAGGGTAGTGGAAGGTAAGGTAAGGTGGAAGGGACGGTAGGGCATGGACGGATGGAGGTCCCAGACGTCTTGCTTTCTAACTGCGAATGCAGGGTACCACGATTTAGAGTATTGAGGGGCTGCCTGCAGTAACCGCTGCCAGGGCAGGGCCAAGGAACGGCTGCTGCGCCATCGGGGGCGACCCGCCCTGTCGCAAGGGAGGAGGATGAGGAGGAGGCGGGGGAGGAGAACGCAGGAGGAGAAGGAGGAGGCGAGGAGGAAGAGGAGGATGAGGAGGAGGCGAGGACAACGAAGGAGGGAGGATGGGAAAGCGGAAGATAAGGAGGAAGGAGCGGGAGCACGGAGGGGGAGAAGCAAGAAGGAGAAGAGGGAGGAGGGAGGAGGAGGGAGGAGGAGGAGGAGGCGAATGAGGAGGAGGAGGAGGCGAAGGAGGCGAAGGAGGAGGAGGAGGAGGAAGGAAGGAGGAAAGAGGAAGGAGAAGGGAGGAATGAGGAAGAAGAGAGGGAGGAGGAAGGAAGCAGTAGCGTCTTGGTCGGTGGAGCCGTTCCAATGGTGCTCCCCGACATCCTCGTCCTGGGCAGGGCGCGGCGGCGGGGCGGCCGCCCCCTCCGCGCGCGGAGGGCCCCTGCGGCCAAGAGCGGCCGCGGCCTCATCCGCAGCTGGGGCAGCAGAAGGAGAACGAGCAGGAGCAGGAGGACGAGGTGGAGGAGCAGGAAGAGAGCAGGAGGAGGAAAAGGGGGAGGAGGAGGCAGGGGGAGGTAGCAGGAAGGAGGAGAAATGGAGGAAGAAGCAGGGAAGAGGAGGAGGAAAAGGAGGAGGAGGAGGAGGCGGAGGAGGCGGCCGAGGATGAGGAAAAGGGAGAGAGGGAACAGGGGGAGAAAGGAGAAGGAGAGGGGGAGGAGGGGGAGGAGGGAGAGAGGAAGGAGGAGAAACAGCTGGAGGAGGACGAAAGAGGAAGATGACGACGATGACAACAATGCCCACGACCAAGACGCCGACCGTACTCCTCCTCCTCCTCGTCCTCCTCCTCCTCCTCGTCCTCCTCCTCCTCCTCCTCCTCCCTGCTCCATCCTACCAACTGTTCCTCCCTCCTCTCTCCTCCTTCCTTCCCTTTCCACAGACGCCGAACCCGACTCTGACACCGACGACGACGACCCGCGAAGTCCATCACGACGGCCACGACGACCACGACGGCCACGACAACGACGACGACGTTAACGACGACCTCGACAACGACGACGACGACGTGAATGCCGACCTCGGCAACCATGACGACTATGACGATCGCGACGACGACGACGACGACGACGACCACGACCACGACCACGACGACGACGGCGACGACGACGACGACGACGACAACCGCGACGACATTGACGACAACCACGACGACGACGACCACAACCACGACGACGACGACGACGCCAGCCGGTCCTCGGCCGCAAACCTCAGTCTGGCCCCAGCTGCCTCAGAGGTGCACGCGCCGCGACCGCCGACGTCAGTGCCGTCGTCGGCGACGACGTCGTCACCGTAGTCTTGGAAATGGTCTTTGTAGACGTCGTCCACGTCCTTCCTTCTTTGTAAGCGTGCCGCTTCAGGTCGACTCACGCGACTATCACAGGCCCCGTCTGACAGACTGGAGGAAACTGAGAAATATACATATACATACACAATTATACGCAAACATAAATCAATATACACATACATACATGCATATACACATACATGCATGCATACATACATACATACATACATACACATACATACATACATACATACATACATACATACATACATACATACATACATACATACATACATACATACATACATACATACATACATACATACATACATACATACATACATACATACATACATACATACATACATACATACATACATACATACATACATACATACATACATACATACATATATATATATATATATATATATATATACATACATACGTACGTACGTACGTAGGTATATACATACATATATACATAAATACATACATACATACATACATACATACATACATACATACATGCATACATGCATACATGCATGCATACATGCATACATGCATACAAACATACATACATGCATGCATGCATGCATGCATGCATACATACATACCCATAGGGAGCTCTACCGAAGCCCCGAATGGGACCGCCCGCATGCGTCCACCATGTCCAATTCGGCATTTTCACCCGCCCAGTATACAGCGTTTCGTGGCCCTATGGGGAGCTCCACCGAAGCCCCCAGTGGGACTGCCCGCATGCGTCCCCCACAGGGAGCTCCGCCGAAGCCTCCAATGGGACCGCCCGCGCGCGTCCCCCACACCCAATTTGGGATTTTCACCAACCCAATACAGCGTTTCGTGGCCCCATAGGGAGCCCCACCGAAGCCCCCAGTGGGGCCGCCCGCATGCGTCCCCCGCACCGAATTTGGCATTTTCACCCACCCTTTACAACGCTTCGCGGCCCCATGGGGAGCTCCACCGAAGCCCCCAATGGGACCGCCAGCATGCGTCCCACACGCCTAATTTGGCACTTTCACCTACCCAGTGCAGCGCTTCGTGGCCTCATAGGGAGCTGCACGGACGGCCCCAGTGCTACCGCCCGCATGCGGTCCCCCCCCGCCCAACGCAGCGCTTCGTGGCCCCATAGGGAGCTTCACCGAAGAAAATATGCACAATTGCGGTACCCACAAGTTCACATGGTTGGGTCCTTCGCCAGGATGATGTTTTTTTTTCCTCGTCGGCCGGGCCGTCTCTCCCCCGAGCCAGGCGAAGAGGCATTTCGTTTGAACGCCGCACTAGAGGAATCAAGCTGTAAACCTCTGCATAAAGATTGCACTTGTCTCCTACACAAATGGAATCAGACTTTAATACCCCACAAACCATTCGAAGGCCGCGCTATCGGAATCAATGTGCACATCTGTACAGGCGGATTTTAATAATCTCCGACACACTAGGAAACATGATGGAATACCGCACAAAGGAATTCCAACAGGAATCGTTGTGTAAGTCTGTACAAGATGATTTGAATAACACCCTCCGCAATAAAAACCAGAATGGAGGCGATCGCGATGGATGATTGCGGAAGTGGTCGTTACTCGCCGGGCGGTGGTGGCGGTGATGTTCCAAGCGTTGATGGCGGCGCAGACGGTGAGGAGAATGCCAGCGGTGGCGGTGGTGGTCCAGGTGGCAGCGATGTCGATGCGACCAATAATGGTGGAAGGTGGGGCGAGGTGGGCGCTATCACCATCATGATTTGTAACGCCGTGCGCCACCGCCATATTCACCGTCATTCCCGCCGCCCGTTCCGCGACCGCCCTCAGCGCCATCGCCACTTAACCCAACGCATTACCGCCGCCATTGCCTCCGCAATCGCAATTACTGGCTGGATCACCCGCACCACAACGCCACCATCGCCATCACCTTCGCGGGCAGCATCATCGCACCGCTAGAACAATCACTACCATCATGGCTGCCACCCAGAACCAACAATACTACTTTCATCATCGTTACCAACGCCACCGCCACCACAATCTGCACCCACACTTGGACAGCCAGTATCTCGGCCACCACCTGGACCGCCACCCCATCATCATCGCCAATGCCATGGTCATCATTATGCCAGGTGACCGTGACGATGACGGCACAAGTGCTGGCGGCGGTGCAGTTTGTGACGGCGGTGGCGGTGGCCCACCAAGCGAGGCAAGACAATGTAAAACAATATGGCGGGGCCGAGCTTAGATCGCGTATCCTAAACTAGTAAGGGTTGTGACGGCGGTACAAGTTCAGGTGGTCGTCGTGCTGGTCATGATAATGACTGTGGTGGTCATGAGTTTCGCTGCCCCCAAGGGAGGCGGTGATGATGGTAATGCCTGAAGCTTACACAGATGGTGGCGATGGCGGCCTTTTATATAGTGGTCCTGGTGGATAAGGGAATTCGACTGCCGATGAAATCGGTGGGTGCCCTATGATAATACTCGAGATGCAGGTTTGTACTCGTCAGTACGGGCGGCGGTGGGGGTGATCGACCGTTCACAGGCGGCATCAATGATGCCATCAACGCTATCACCGCGACTGCCCCACCACATGTCCCCCAACATTGGGCCCATGAGAGGCTCTGACATGTGAGCCCCTCCCGAGCAGAATCTGTTCTCTATTCCAGCGCCCTGGGTAACGTGTCACAACAGGAATCCTTCAGTGTAGTCCGCCACAGAAGGAATCCTTGTGTACTCCGCCACAGAACCAATTTGGAACCCCTGCGGTGACCCATACGCACAGGCCACTCTTGCGATCCGTAACGTAAGATGGTAAACAAGACACAGCACATTTTGATGAGGACGAACATCCAAACAATGATTCGGACAACGGACACTATGTCCAAGAGACAGGCGACATAACACAAACAAGAAACGACAACACATTAACAAAAAGAAGGGATCACAGGAGCGGCCCTTAGCACACACACACACGCACACACATATCAATCTATGTCTATATATACACACCTATACGACCACCCTTCGGGTGATAAGGAGGTCCGGGGGGGGGAGGAACCAACGTCTCCCTCGATCGGTCCCACCATCGATCTCACTATTGGTCTCGCTCGATCGATCTCACTCGATCGATCTCACAATCGATATCACTCGATCTATTTCATGCGATCGATCTCACAATCGATCTGACGATCGATCTCACAATCGATGTCACTATCGATCTCGCAATCGATCTCACATTCGGTCTCGCTATCGATCTCACTATCGATATCACAATCGATCCCACAATCAACGTCATCATCACCAACATCATCGTCATCAACGTCATCAATACCATCCTCATCGGGACACCATCATCATCATCATCATCACATCACCATCATCATCAACATCATCGTCGTCATAACCATCATCCTCATCGTCATCGGGACACCATCATCGTTACCAGCACCATCATCATCAACATCATCACCATCGGGACACCATCATCACCATCAGCATCTGAACACCATCATCATCAGCATCATATCATCACCACCATCATGAACAACAGCATCATCCTCATCATCGGGACACCACCACCATCATCACCATAAGCAGCATCATCATCATCGGCACCATCGCCATCGTCACCATCATCAGCACCATCAACATCATCATCGAGTCACCATCCCCATCATCAGCATCAGCATCGTCATCATCATCGGGCCACTATCATCAAAATCATCATCATCACCTCATCACCATCCTCATCATCAACATCATCATCATCGGGACACCATCATCGTCATCATCATCATGATCATCGGGACACCATCATCATCATCATCATCATCATCATCAATAACATCATCATCAAAATTATCGTCATCATCATCGTCGGGACACCATCATCATCATCATCATCTTCATCAGCATATTTTTTCATCTCAACATCATCAACATCAGGATCATGAACATCATCATCATCATCACCGGGACACCATCATCATCATCAACAACAACATCATCATCAACAAGATCGTCGGGACACCATCACCACCACCACCATGGCCATCAGCATCACCATCATAGTCATCATCAACATCGTCAACATCATCATCATCATCGGGGCACCATCATGATCACCACCGTCACCATCTTCATCACCAACAACATCATCGACATCATCATCAGCATCATCATCATATTTCGTCATCGCATCATCATCAACATCAGGATCATCAACATCATCATCATCATCGGGACACCATCATAATCAGCAACATCAGCATCATCAACAAGATCGTCGGGACACCATCACCGTCACCACCATGGCCATCATCATCACAATCATCATCAGCATCATTTACATCGTCAACCTAATCATCATCATCGGGACACCATCATCATCACCAACATCACCATCATCATCACCACCAACATCATCGACATCATCAGAATCATCATCAGCGGGACACTGACGGGACACCATCATCATCACCATCATCATCAACAGCATCATCATCAACCTCATCATCACCATCATCGGGACACCATCATCGTCACATTCATAATCAACATCAGCATCATCATCATCATCATCTCATCATCTGGTCATCATCAACATCATCATGATCATCAATATCATCATCATCATCATCGGGCCACCATCATCACCATCATCATCAGCATCACCAACATCAACATCATCGGGACACCATCATCATCACCACCATGGCCATCATCATCACCATCATCATCATCAACATTGCCCAACAGCATCATCATCATCATCATCGGGACACCATCATCATTACCACCATCACCATCATCATCAGCATCATCAACATCATCGACATCATCATCATAATCACCATCATCATCATTATCATTCTCATCATCATCATCATCATCATCATCATCATTATCATCGGGACACCGACGGGACACCGGCGGGACACCGGCGGGGCACCGCGCGCCACCGGACGCCGGAAGGGAGACATTTGGTCCGGCCGCGCCTCAGCCGAAGGCGGGACACCTGCGGGACACCGCGCGCCACCGGTTGCCGGAAGGGAGTAATTTGGTCTGGCCGCGCCTCAGCCACAGGAGACTTTCCTCTCGCCCGCCCACGCAGCTTCGCCTCGCCCGCACGCACGGCACGCACGAACTCGAAACCGAAATCGATTTCCTGGTAGGGGGGCTCTCCGTTCCACTTCGATCTCACCCCCTTACCTCCGATACGTGACATATATATATATATATACATCTACATATATATATATATATATATATATATATATATAAATACATACATACATACATACATATACTATATATACATATATATATATCTTGTGCGGCGAGGAATTCCCTGAAGGAGTCTCAAGTGATTCGTAAATACTGCATTTATTTTGTAGCACGTCCTATGCGGCGGCCTGCGGCTGTGACCGCTTGGCCTGCCGCCAGGATGTGGGTCAAGCCAGCTCGTCTGGCTAGCCTGACTCGCTCGTTGTCGCGGGCCTCCCACGCTGCCACCAATTCTGGGCTCTGCACTGGCAAAGTCGACATGATCTGGGTGCGGCAAGCCGGGCGGCGGCTATCAGACACGCGTCGCGCGACGCGGTGCCGCTCCAAAAAATCTGCTTTACACGCGGGGCATGCGCCCGAATCGTCAATGAACGCCTTGATAGGAGCAGCCTGCTTATGAGCGATCCGCTTAGGCTGTAATAGCGCCTTGTTGGTCGGGAAGCTGGCGTCGCACCTATCACGCCGGAACTGCACACCCGGCGGGGCGCGGCAGCCTTGCACGGCCACCTTGTCCAGCGACGACTCACAGAAGAAGACTCGCTGTACAATCGAGGTCCAGTCGTTTTCTCTCATGCGAGACATCCACATGCTGGGGGCCTCGGTGCAGCCAGGCATGGCGTCCAACTCAGGCGCCAGCCGCCGGAGTAGGTTGAGGTCCACGATCACCTGCGCAACATGCGGCAGGGGCCGCCCTCGCGGACGCGCCTGCATAAGGGCCCACACCGTGAAGGGCTGGTGGGCCACCAGTCGGTGGTAGTAGCGGAGGCGCTTTTGCAGAACGAGGCAGTCGATGGACGGTGCATGTAGCCTCTGGCGGACTGCGAGGTCCGAGAAGGCAGGCGCATGCCCAGCCTTCATATCGCCAGCAATGCGTCTCAGGGCACGCATGTAGGGACCGTCGATCAGCTTGAGAGCCGCGGGGGACATTGTCCATATGGCGACGTTGCACAGCAGTCTCGACAGGACCAGGCTGTGGAGCAGGTGGAGCTTCATGGTGGCACCGATGACATCCGAGGAGAATACCTTGGACGCGATCGGGGAGTAGGCGGACATAGCCGAGGAGGCTCGCTGCCGGGCCTCTGGCACCATGCCCCCGCTGGCGGAGATCACGCCGCCGAGGTGCTGGTGCCCATCCACTACGTGCATGGCGGTATTTCCGTCGCCGAGCGGGATGCGGAGGCCGCCCTCAGACCTCAGCTCAGCAACGACTTTCGTGGCACCCGGGCCGCGGCAGCGGACGATAGCTTCGCTCTTGCCCTTCTTCCAGTTGATGCGCAGGCCGAACTCGGCGAATACCTTGGCGTAAAGGTTGGTCACCGTGCCGATGGCCTCGCGGAGCTGGGTGGAGGAACGGGTGACTATGGCGATCGCCTCATCATCGACGTATGTGACTTCAACAGTGAGGTTCACGGCGTCGCCGTTCTCAGCCGAGGTCCAGAAGGGGATGCCCTTGGCAGTGTTCAGCACAAGGGCAATGCCGGCTTTCTTGAGGGCACTGCGCACTGCTGCAAGGGCCTCCTCGTGCACGCAGCAGAAGATGAGCCCACCCAGTTTGCAGCCTTGGCGGCCGCCCGTGGTTGTGACGACCACTCGATCAGCCCCTTCAACTGCGAACCAGGCGCGATCATGGAGATTCTGCGTGAGCGCTATGACCGTCGGGTCAATGTTCCAGCGCTCGAGCACCGACCCCCGCTTATCAATGTGGGACACCACCTTGACGGCAGCTCTGACCGTCAGGCCGCACTGGCGGAGGTAGCCTGCACGAGCCGCATCGCGAGCCCATTGGGGGCCCGGGCATGGCGGCCAACCGTAGACGATCTCCCGGATAACCCGGTCGAATGCCTGCGTCAGGTCAAAAAAAGACAATGCACCAGGACATGGAGCTCGCGTCCGCGAACTCTGTAAGCAGCCGCAGGGTGTGGGATGGAAAGTCTGTGCCTCCGCCCGGCTTGCCCCCGTACTGCGTCTCAGGCAGCTTCCCGTTGGCGATCGGAATGATCTCGTCCTTCAGAAGCCCTGCTGGGATTTTGGCCATGCTGTCGGCGACCAGGAGGCCGCGGTGGTCATTGCACTCTTTGGGGGAGCCTTTCCGTTTCCACGGCGTGGCCATGAGGCCCCCCTTCCAGCGGGCTGGCCAGGACCGTGTGACCACCATGTCATTGACGATCGAATGGGCGAAGACGGCCATGGGGCAGCCTCCCGCCTTGATCACACCAGGGGGCAATCCATCAGGCCCCTGGGCCTTGTCACCACCAAGCGCTTGTATCTTCGCGTCGACCTGCGCGAGGGTCGGGTTGAAGGCCCCTGTCGAGCGAGGCCCCGGGTGCTCAGTCTTCGTGTCCCTCCACGACGGGAGGGTGTAGCCGACGAAGAGCTCGGTGAAGTGCTCGATCCACCGGTCCGCTCGCTCCGCCGGGGTCTTCGCTAGCGAGCCGTCCTTGTTCGCAATCGCCTCGATGGCGCGAGGCTTGAAGCAGCCCAGGAGGCGCACGACGCGGTGCGACTCCTTGCTGTCGCTGCGCTCATTCGCGCGCGCCGCCTTCCACGCCATGTCGTGCATGAAGTGCCGCTTGTCGTCGATGACCATTCCCCGTATGGCTCGATGGGCCTTGTCGAGTCCTTGCCAGCACTGCTGGACGGCCATGTTGAGCTTGACAGCAATGCGCCGCACGGCGGCTGCCTCTGCCAGGGCTCGCCAACCAGCGCAGTCTGGTTGGTCACCGCGAGAGTGCGTTGCTCTCGGTGGGCGGCTCCCTGCGGCCGGTCCGCCACGGGCCTGCCCCTTGGCGATGCCCGCGCAGGCAGGCCCGCCATGAAGGGCTTCTGCCCTGGACTCGGCTGGGGAGGCAGTCGCACATATCACGGAGTCGGTGCGCGGCCGATCAGGCTGCGGTGCCCCCAATGGCAGCTCCGCTGGCCCGGGCCCGCGGGGCCCCAGGGACGTTGGTCGGGCAAACGGCCGACCGACGTGGCGGTCCACCCAGACCCCGGAGGCGGCTCCTCCCGCTCCTCCAGCGCGGTGCCCGTCGCCCCGCCCACCAGGTTGGGTCGCACGGCGCGGCGGACCGCCAACCGCCGCCACTTCGCGGCCCTCTCGGCCGCGGGGGCGGGCGGTGGCGGGAGGGGCATGCGCCCGAACATCGTCAAGAACAAATGCGCGGCTGAAGAGCGACCTCCACCCCAACCAGGCGTAGCGCACCAGCTGCTTGTTCACGAGGCGCTTCAGGTCGAACGTGGCGCGTCGCAGCATGGGCAACGGCCGTAGCAACGCCCACGTACGCTGCGTGATCCACGGTTGGCGCGGAACCTTAGGAGCAGGACCGAAGGCGTTCGTGGCAGCGTTCTTTACCACCTCGATGACTCGCTCGAGCTTGGCGTCGGCATTCAGGGCGCCGGTGACCTCTGGGACCGCGCGCCAGAAGGAATCCTGGAAGGCTTGGACGCACCGTGGGTCCGTGAGGTTAGCCTTGTTGACACTGATCTTCATGGCAGGCTTGGGCTGGACACTGGTGTCCGTTCCTGCCACGATGACGGTGGCGAGGACTGCCCTGTGGTCCTCGCAAGCGCTGGTGGCCAGCTCAACGTCGTCGAGCACGCGCGGGGGGGCAGCCTCCCAGGGCACGTCCGCATCCGACAGGATGTAGTCTATGCGGGCTGTGGTCTGATGCGCGGATCGCCATGTGTAGCCACCTCCAGCGAATGTGTTAAGAGCCCGTATGCCCAGGCTCGCCTCGCCCAGGAAATGCCTGAGCAGGGAACCGTTGTGGTTCTCAGTGGACGGCGTGCACTGGCCGATGCTGTCCGCGGGCACCGACCCGACGCGTGCGTTAGCGTCAATGCCGATGATGAGATACGTGGAGGGCCATCTTGACTTCAGCCACGATGTCCAATGAGCCATGGCGTCCCAGAAGACGCACTTGGTCGAGTCTGGCGCCGCCTCGATGGGGGCATGCGCGCTCAGTACGGACACCGTCGCACCGTTGGCAAGGGCCACAACTTGAATGACCAATCGAAGTGAAACCTCATGAGAGAAAATGGCTGTGTGCTTCAGGCCATGCTTTATCCAAATCTGCACGCCGAATTGGCCCGCATCGGCAGCAGCGATGAGCATGGAGTAGTGGATGCCACTCTTCACCTGGGCACAGGGAGAGCGACCTTCTTGTATGCATACAATGTCAGCGCCAACGCTGGCGAATTGGATTTCGAGGAGCTGGGCTCGTCCCAAAGCCGCAACACCTGCAGAAGTCATGCATTCGTTATCGTACTTCCCATTGTTGAGGGTGCGGACGTTGGCGGTGGCAACGCGCAGGTATTGCGTCGATGTCGACTGGTTGGTATTAGGCGTAGTTTCCACCGCCGGGTCCCCTGTGGACGGAGTCTCTACCCCGCGACTCCGCCCCCCTCCCCGTGAGGGACTGGCACGCCAGATACGTCCGGGAGGCCGTACTGCGGGGCATCGGCGGGAATCGTCTTGGCACGGAGCGGTCTGCGGCCATTGGCAAGCATCGGCGCAGCCCCACTCGCTGTCCCGGGCTCGGCATCTGACCATGGCCGTATCGCTGGTGTAAGCGATGTCCCCATGGCCGCGTCCTCTTCGGGCGGAGCGGTCACCGCCGCTGAGGCACTCATGCTGCGGGCAGCTGCAGCAATCTGCTGGACCCCCTCGAGCAGCACCTTGACCTGGTTCTGGACCTGCTGGACGTGCTCTGGAGGGACGGCCGGGGACGCCATCATGTCGCTGAGCATCCCCGTCAAGGCGGTCGTGGCCGACTGGATGGAGTCGGCAGGTGTGGCTGCAGCTCCCGCTGCAAGTTGGGCCTCGAGGGACGCGAGCTCCTCCTTGAGGGAGGCTGCGTGCTCGCTCTCGTTCTTCAGCTCCTTGACCGACTCGTCGATGGTGGTCTGGAGCTTGGTCGCCCGCGCCTGGGACCGGAGGATGGCCTGCTGGCAGCCCTCGATCTGCGCGGCCAGGGAGTTCGTCGAGGTGATGGCCTTCTTCTCGGCGGTCAGCTGGGCCTGCAGGGTAGCCCGCGAAGACGCGAATGCAGGGTCGCCGTCGGGCAACGCTGCTATGGCAGCCTCGATGTGACGGACGTTCGCAACATGCTTGGCACGTGTAGACGCTTTGTCCTGGGTCCCCATCGCAGGCACGGCTGTCGGCGGAGCTGCGTGCCACGGGCAAGGCGGAGGATCGCCAGCTCCATGGCCGCCACCGGCGGTGAGGCCGGAGCCATGGTTCGCCGCCCAGCTCTTGTTCATGCCGCACCGCCTGCACTTCTTGGCCGCGACCTGGTTCCAACCAGAGCACGCACCACAGTGCCACCACCAGGCCTGCGAGTCGTGCTCCTTTGATGGGGCCCACCATTGTTGCCCCGCGGTGGACGTCGACCATGCCATGGCGTGGCCGCTGCGCTCCGTGTATGCGGGAAGCACACGGATTGATGCGATGGGCTGTCGTAGGCTTACGGTTTGGCCGCCAGCCCCCTTTGGGGGACACCAGGCTGTAGGACGAAGTTGCTGCGCCATGCGCCAGTTGCAGCTCAAGTCTCCAATGTTCGTCACAAGTCTGATGTCATCGCACTTTTTGTGACTCCCTTCAGACGGCGCATGCGTGCGGCAGGCCCCACTCGTCTGCATGGCTAGCACAAGCTAGTCCACTTTAACTCGCTCACGCTCTCGCACCCGCAGCGCCTCGCAGACATCAGCGGGGTGGTCCCAGGAAAATCCACCAAGGGGCAGCTTCGGCGTGTCTGCAACGAGGCCACCGCCGTGAGGAGCTGTGCCACTAGGGCGAGCAGCGTCGTCAGCAGCATGCCAGACATTTCAACAACGCCATAGATGCGCACGCATTCGAGGAATTCGCCGCTGGCTTCATGCCAACCATCGGCAACGCTGCCGTTCATACCTTAACGAATTCACCGCTCAAGCAAAAGGATCATAGCCAGCACTTCCGTCAGCTCGCCGACCTACTGCATCGGCGCCAGGACATGCGTGAACGTGAACAGCAACACTCCGACCACGACGTCGAACTCAGCATGGAGATCACGAGGCTGTCCCGGTGACTGAAAGCAGACAGCAAACACTACTGGAAGCAGGTCAAACGCGAGAGGGAGGACGCGCTGCACGCGGCGTGGACCAAGCGACAGTTCTACGAGGTTCACAAGATGAGCCTGCTCATCGCGTCAACGCACATGGGACACCGGCAGCGGCGCTACAACGTCGCGCCCACGGCCACGTCGTCCACGCAGATGTGGGCGGAGAAGCTCCGAAGGCCTGGCGGGGAGGGCGGGAGGTTCTGCGACGCTGCTGGCCCAAACCCACCATGGCAGAATGGCGGGGCATTGGCGCAGGCCTCTGTCGACGCAGGCCCCTGGACACTGCACCGTGCTCCCTCCTGTCCCCCCTCCTCGTTTCGACCCCCTTCCTTGGAGGTCGACGCCTGGCTCGAGAGCGAGGGCACATTGCACCGTGCTCCCTCCTGTCCCCCCTCCTCGTTTCGACCGCCTTCCTTGGAGGTCGACGCCTGGCTCGAGAGCGAGGGCGACGTCACCAGGCTCAAAAGGAGGCCAGCGAGAAACCACAGAGCGGCAGGGCCGGACCCCCGTGGAGCACGTCATCTGACGTCCTGCGCGTGCGGACCGACCCGGACAAGCATTATCGTTCGGCGGTGGACAAGCCTCCCTTTAGTCAACCTCCCCGTAATGAAAACGGCCTAGGACCGAAACCGACCGACCTGGACCCGCAGAAATGACGGCCGCGACGCCCTCTCGCGAACCAGAAACGGCCAATTCCTCAATCGACGTGTCAGGGTAGGAGGTCTGTCCACCCCCGAATCGTCCAGAGCGGCACCTTGGAGTCGGCGCCAGCGCGCCCACCATAGGCGGCGGGCGAGGGGGGAAACGAGAGGGAGAAGGCCTTCCCAGAAGGCGGCGGGACTTCTCAGGAGCCTTCGCGCCTTCTAAGAATTGTTTTCTGTTTTCGGGGAAGGCTCAGGAAACTTCTCAGAAGGCCGCGGAACGTCCGAGACTTCTGAGAAGGCCCGCCACTTCTCAATTCCCCTCCTCGCTCGCCGCCGACACCATTGAGGCGCCGACATTCGACAAAAGATTACGTCAGCTATGCCAGCTGATCCGCGTCTGCCAACGTGTTCCCCGAGTGTGGCACCAGACCATGGCCGTCAGGTTCGCGAAGGGAAACGGCAAGCTGTGGTGCGACGGTGAACGAGTGATTATGGTTCTATGTGGATTTGGCCGCAGCCTTTTCCAGTCTGTGCTGGAGGCGCCGAAGAAGTGGCCGCACTGTATGTACGACGGCGTCAGGCGACGACGAGAGGGAGCCAAGCTCGTTCAGATGTATCTCAGCTACCGCCTGAAACGTACAGGGTACTGCCACGTCACCAGGCACCACGATGCCACCAATGCTTTCCCGAGCGGCAAGCACAGCGTCGTCGTCGAAGCTGCGGTCGAGCTCGCGATAGCCCATGCAGTACCTCTCCTGCAGCAACGCAACCAAGAGGCTACTAGTGATGGAAGACCACGACACGGCAGAGCACATGATCCCCAGCGAAGGCATCTTCCAAAGGGATCACGCTGCCACGAGACATTATGTTACCCTCTACACGCGCACGCTCAGCAACCGGAATGCCGAGCATTACGACCACGACGACTCTTTCAAGCTGCTGGAGGGCATCGCGCCCATCACCGGCAGCGAGGTAAATCTCGCCCACACCGAGTTCGCCGACGACATCGGCCACAAAATCGTAGCCTTACGGCCCGAACAGTTTGTTCAAAAGCAGAACGAAGCCATCACTGCACTCCTCGGCCGCCTCGGAGTGTCCCAAAACGTGCCCAAATAGGACAACATCCCGACTGGCGGCGGGATCGCTGCAGCCGTCTTCGAGCGAGGCGTTTTCACGAAGCGACCCGAGCTCGACGGTCAAGTTCTGCCTGACGCTAGGTACCTTGGCGGCCAGTACTCTCATAAGCTCAGTTTCGCTCCCGAGAGACAGAAGCGCCTGGAGGCCATGTCCAATGGATGGCACAGCATGGGCGCGTTCTGGAAGGCGCGCGTCTCGCTCAAGTTCCGCGCAGTCGCTTTCGCCAGCCGCGTGCAAGGCACAGCGCTCTCTGGACTTGAAGCCTTCATCGGCTCCATGGGCGACCCACGCACTCGACGTTTAGCTCGCCATGGCGGTCATCACCACCAAAACAGCCACTGTCAACACCACCATCCTCCTCATCATCATTATCATGATCATCATCACCATCAGCATCATCACAACCATTATTATCATCATGATGATAATCCGCATTGCCATCATCTTCATCACCACCACCATCATCATCACAGTCATCATCATTCATCATCATTACCACCATCATCAAGATCATCATAATCATCCAAACCATCATCCTAGTCATCACCATCACCACCACCACCACCGTCATCACCGCCATCATCATCATCGCCATCATCACCATCGAAAAATAAATCTTCATCTTCACCACCGCCACCATCATAATCATCATCACCACCACCACCGTCATCATCATCATCATCACACCAACCATCATCATCATCATCCAAATCGCCATCATCACCACTTCCACCATCACCATCATTATCATCCCCACCATCACAATATCCATCACCGCCACCAACACCATCATCATCATCGTCATCATTGTCACCATCACCCTCACCATCGCCATCGTCATCACCACCACCATCATTATCATCAGCAGCATCCCAATCATCACCATCATCATCCCAATCATCATCATCATCATCATCATCACCTCCACCATCATCATCTTCATCATCATCATCATCATCATCATCCTCATCTTCACCATCACCATTGCCATCAGCATCATCACCTTTATCACCATCATCCGAATCAACATCACCACCACCACGACCGTCATCTGCATCAGCATCCCAACCAGCATCATCATCATCAGCATCATCATCATCATGATCATCATCATCCCGATCATCATCACCCCGTCGCCATCATCACCACCAACACCAGCATCATCATCATCATCATAACCATCACAATCATTACCAAGATCATCATCACCACCACCACCATCATCATCATCATCATCATCCACATCACCATCTTCATCATCATCATCGTCATCATCATCATCACTTTCATCACCATCATCCTCAACACCATCACCACCACCACCATCATCATCATCATCCTCATCATCACCATCACCATCACCATCGCAGTCATCATCATCATCATCAGCATCATCACCACCATCATCATCACCATCATCACCACCACCATCATTGCCACCACCACCAACAGCACCATCATCATCGTCATCATCATCAGTATCATCGTTACCATCATCATCCTCCTCGTCATCATCATCACCATCATCATCATCAATACTATACGTATTGTGCATTTTATTATTCGTATTGTTACGAATTCTCTCAACATTATCATTATTATTCGTGATAGTCTCATTATCACTATGACCATCATCATCAACAGCAGCATCATCATCACCATCATCATCATCATCATCATCATCATCATCATCATAATCATCATCCACTGGCGCCCAGCTGCAAAGGGCGGACAGCTGCACTGCTCGGGCAAGCGGGACCCCCCTGGGCGCCTCGAGCATCCTCGGCGAGGGCGGCATGCCTGGGAGCTCCCTTCTCGGCCGCACGCAGGAGCGGTCCCAGAGGAGGGCCATTCGAGACAACGGCGGCGATCCCTGGCTTATGTGGTCTGTCCTGGATCAGGTGGGATTTTTTCACAATTTTAGATCGATGTGGCTAGTTTTCGAAGCCCTCCTTCGCATCGACCCCCAATCGCCCACTCATCGCCGCCAGAAGCCTCTTGGAGGCTGCTTGTCGCCGCGACTGGGTCCCCGTCGACAAACGAGTCAGGATGAAACCCACAAAGGATCCGGGGGCCTTTTGAGCGGACCTGCTCTGGGCGGACAAGCCGGTTTTTATCTCAACTGGCCTTCCTTAGAACAAGACAAGGGTGACGTTTAGTGCGCCTCTCGCATGCCTGAGCTAAATTCGCAAAATCGAACGCAAAATCGGATCGGGCCCAGACCATTTGGGATCGCGGATTGGGCTTGGCCTTTGAGGGCCAGAGGGGAAGCCCGCTCGTGCCCGATCGGATCGGACCCCGAGATCGGGGTTGAACTTTGTGCATCGGATCGGGTCGAATCGGACCACGAGCAGTCTTGGCTTGCCGATCGCGGCATGCGATGCGCCAGTGGCGGCCTGCGTGCCTGATGTACCCCGCGCCCCGCTGAGGGGCAGCGTTACGGGGGGCCTGGCTCAGGGTGGGGAACATCAGCCTAGAATCGGCGATGCATCGCCGATGGATCAGCGATAAGCCCCCGATAGCGAAACCACAGGTGCCT